AGAAAGAAAGAAAGAAAGAAAGAAAGGGAATCACAGCCTGCATTTCATTTGCAACACGGAACCCCTCTGAAGGAATCTCTTTCTTATAAGCCCCTTTGCCTCGGCTGTGGATCCCGCAGGGACAAAGAAGCCAAAAAGGGGGTCTCCTTCACTTAGTTGCCTGACCTACGACTCTCATTAAGAGAATCTTTTCAAACCAGGCTCTGCAAAAAAATGTCTCGCTTGCGCCTCAGTTGCTTGGGGGAGGTGGAGGGGAGCTATTTGGAGAAGCCATCTCCATGGCAACAGATATTCCCATCAGAATATGTGCACAGGTCACCTGCTTCTGCAAAAGTTTCCCTCTTGTTTTCTTTCCCTGCCTCTCCAACAGGTGCCAGGGGAGCAGATGCTGTTTGCCACACCAGCCAGGAAATGCGAGAATGTCTCCGAATCAGGAGTGATGCCTCAGGAAGACTGACCTCCCACAGTCTCGGAAGCCTGCAAAAGTCTGCTCTGGCATGTGAACAGGAGCCAAACAGCAGCATTCCCAGTGGTCCACGCTGCAGGAGAGAAAAGAGAATCTGACACTTCGGAGGGCTCAGGTGCAAACCTGGGCAAAAGGACAAGTGACAAGCCGCCTCGCCTCCAGTTGCTACACATTTTAAAAAGCCACTGGAGGAGAGGGGAAGGAGGGGGAGTTTCAAATCACCTCATTGACAGAATTTGGTTTGCAGGGAGAAGTTAACTGCACGTTACAACTGGACACTTTATTTATTTATTTATTGGATTTATATACCGCCCCATAGCGCTACAAGCACTCTCCGGGCGGTTTACAATTTTAATTATAAAGGCTACACATTGCCCCCCCAGCAAGCTGGGTACTAGTCGAGCTGCTACACATTTTAAAAAGCCACTGAAGGAGAGGGGAAGGAGGGGGAGTTTCAAATCACCTCATTGACAGAATTTGGTTTGCAGGGAGAAGTTAACTGCACTTTACAACTGGACACTTTGTGTCCAGATGGCTCTTCTCCTCTTCCCGAACCAAGAAAGGCATGAAACCCACCTAGGGAAGTTAGTACTGTACCGGCTTGTATTGGATATGGGTGTAGTCGGCAGATGCCCCACCATCTTAAAAATGAACCAAAACATTTTTACACAATGGAACTGAAGCCACATATGTTGCAGTGGTGCGTCATCTCCACTGTCACATCTGTACACAAAAGAAAGTTCACACAAGCCAAGAGGCAGGTGGTCACAGACAGTTTACAAGAATCAAAATCCAGCAATGGACCTGTTCTGAGTGCCCTGGCTCTGCAAGAGTCTTAGATTCAAGAGAGAGAGAAATAAAGGAAGCAAAGGAGTTTATTGGCTGGCAAATGGGTCCTCCTGATCACTCTAAGAGGAGATCTTACCAGAGCCAAAGCCAGATCTCAAAAGAAGAGAAGAAACCCAGATCAACGAGGTGACATTCCCATCTTCTGAACAGACCACCAACAGCCAAAGAAAAGTCAGCACTTTTACTATTTCCTTTCTTGTAACTTTTTAGTTTTGGTATTAAATTGTAAGCCACTACCAATGACTTGGCAGGAAAGTGATTTAAACATGAGGTAAACAAACAACCTCACTCCATCCCAAAGAAACCAACGTCAAATTCTGGGGGCCAATCACCACTTGTAGTGGTGCTTCTTGATACAAATGGAAAAGACCTGAAGAACTTGACAAGCCAAGCCAGTTCTTCAATCAAGAGAAAAGGCACAAAATCAGACAACGGCATTGGTGGTGCGCAATGTAGTGGTGCCGTGATGCACACCAGTGTGACTCTTTCTCCCATGTTATATCTAACATACAAATTAAAAACACTTGCCATGCTGGACTAGAGTAGTTGGAGCCCAAAGTGAAGCAGGCCAAAATTACTATTCTACCTTTACTAGTCAGCAGCAATAAGCTGGGCTTCCATCGTTTACATCAGGCTCAATCCAGAGGCTTCATACTGCTTATCGGTCACAGATGTTGCTGATCCCTACCCCATTCTGTACTTGAAAAGAGATGGAAACGCAGAATGACCTGGAAGGGCACCATATTAGGTCTCAGCTTTAAACAACATAATTGTTCATTCATACCTTGAATACAGAGAATGTATAAATTGCTAGGATTACTGATGTTATGACCCTAGGCAACCAGGTATCTGGGAGATTCCTATCCCTAGATTTTTCCTTTTGGAAACCACTTTAAATAGGTGAGATAAATACTACCAAACCCACCAGTAGTTCTGTAAGCCTTCTCCCCACTTATAAATCTCTGCTCTGTTTATCTGCCTCATGTTTTGGCCAGAATCATCACTCTTACCTAGCTTTGTCCATTTTTCACACTTAACTTTTCAAATTTCTGTTTTCCCTTCACATCTACAAAATGGGAGAAATAATCTATTTTCTCCAAAATTTACTAACAGTAAGTCAAAATAACTTACCAGAAAACCCCAATATCAGTAACTGGCTGACATTTTACTATGCTGTGCAACCTTGGCTATGCTACCTCAATCTTCACATTCCTCATTTTTTGCTATTTGCATCTTGAGTTGCCGCAGAGAAGCACCACGACTGAAATTGAAGGAAAATCTCGAGTTTCAGGTTCCTGAGAGAGGCATACGGTACGTGCATATAGAAAGACATCATAAGCTTGGACAACAGTTGCTTAAGCTTCCTGTCTCGTTTGGTTGAAAGAGGAAAGTCTCGGCTTAGAACAAATCTCTGTTCTTTATTCAGTTTGAAAAATGCAGACAGCCTGGATGTTGAATTTGGTTTTTTAAAACTGGAAAAGCAGCTCTCATTAAAAAGCCACCAGGTGTTCCCAGCACAATCTGCAGCTCCCTTTTTAGCTTTAATGTTTTCATTGCTCGTGTAACAGATGCACTCTCCAGGACCTTTCCCGGAGCATCAAAATGCCATCTCTGCACCACGAAGCAAGTATACATTTAGCAAATCTGATGCTGCTTTTCTTTCTGTCTAATAGACCACCTATTCTACTGACACACGATAACACAAGTTATCCTTAGTCAAGGAAAAAGGAAGCCAGTGTTCAAATGTTATAATTGCAATCTGCTGCCTGTGAAACCCAGGGGTTTTCCTTGTTAGCAGTACTATAGGGTAGCATGTTCTGAACTACTAATACAGAAAGACAGCAAGTTTTAACAACATTGCCCACACCTCTGTTGAGATTTAAAATCTATGCTTCACACCAATCAACCTAACATACAAAGCTATTCAAGGTGCAGACAGCATAGACAAGATTGATTGCTCCTGTTAATAGCATTTTGGGAGTTCCAACATAGAACATGAACTGATATACTAATGTTGGGCATTAATCCTCCTAACAACAGAAAGCAGAATAAAGTCCTATTTTAGAAAATTCTATAATGCTACAAATGTTCAAGCATTTCATAAGCAAGAATGTCCAATGGATTTTTAAAAATTGCAATGAAGCTTCAGTATCCTAAGGTGAGGTTAAATGGACTTCCAGCCTTTTAGATCCAGCTGAAAACTACAAAAATAGTAGGTTTTGTTTATCAGTGGGTGCTTCCAGACAGATGATTCTTAGTGCTAACAAATCAGTGCCCTCCTGTTGTAATCTATGAGTGAAGATGGAACTGATTTTCCACATTATCAGAGTACAGTGTGTGATTTTTGTGTGTACATGCCAATATGGTCTATCTGTTTCAATTAACTTAGCATTATTCTTCTGAGAGGGATGTTGCTGGTAAGAGATAATAATATATTAAGCATCTGAATCTATCGCAGTTCAATGACTCTAAGACAAGACAGATTTTCTGAGATAAGAAAATGAGGGAGGAAGAAGTAGCCTGACGAAAGTTGTAAACAGATGAAAATCTGAGTGAAAAGTCATGACAATTCCACATTAAGTCAACTGGAAAGTGGTCCATTTCTTTCAGAGACTGCACATACACGGATGTCACATAATTGGCTGTTAGCTCATCTCTGCTTAAAAGGCAAAGAAACAAGAAGTGTACTCACTTTGCTAAATACAAACGTTAACCACACCGGTCAGAATTTCCTCTCTTCTGCTCTACAGAAACCAGCAATGAAATGGCATCACTCTGCATATCAAGCAACAGAGAATGGAGTGGGGAAAAAGAGAGGAGGAGAGTCCTCTGGGGATGATCTACCTGGGGATTTAATTCAATTGCACTGTCCTTCAGTCTTTAAACAACATTTCCCTCCCAAATGAAATAACTTCACAAGATATATCCATTCAGCCACACTTCCATATATAAGACAGGAAATAAACAAGGTAACTGAATAGCAGCTTCTCCCAAAGACAGCCAAAAGCATTTAAAGACCCCATCTGAAATGAAGGAATATGCTTTCACAGGACACTAAGGAACAGTGGCAAATGTTTAAGTAAGGGGGCAATAAGATTTTACTGGTGTGCTTTCTTGAGTTAAAGTCTGCAGCAGGGAATTCATTAGACAGGAGAGAAGAATCAGGTATGCTTTATTATATATGGGAAGAGATACAAGGGAAAATATTTGTGATACCCATAAGGTAGAGAGAAGATTTAATATGATTTTCTCCAAATAAGAACACAGGCCTGGTTCTCTCCTCACCTTTTCAACACTCGCACAATGTAATCATTGGAGAAAGAGCTAATATTACAAGTCCAGGCAACTTTCAGCTTCAAATATGTTTGGCAAGAAATAACCCTTTACCCTTCTGGAATAGCTGGAGAAATGTTAAGAAAATATCCTTTACTGGCAGAGGCGAACAAATTACAAGCAAAATAAAAAAAAAAAAGTTCAAGGCATTCTAAATGAATAGCAAATATTTCCAAATCTAGTGTGAAGTTTAATACAGAAACTGGTAACTTCATTGTGGCCAATCCCAGGAGATCTCTATTATTGTCATGATCACTATATCACAAAAGAGGAAGATAACAACTTAACAACTAATTGCAGCAGAAATGGCACACCCAAGAGGAGAGAACATTTTGAAGAACTTCCACCTCACCTTAATATATGTGTCAAGAGACGGATGGACACGGTTCACTGCCAGATGTATGGAAAGCGGAGTTGTGTAGGGGAATGTTGCCATGACTACATGGCTGGCAGCTGGGAAGTTGATAATCTTGAAGCCATATTTCAGGAACATGCGGATTACTTCCTCAGATGGCTTCTCTTCCCCTTCACTCAGAATTCTACCCACAGCATAACGGCATTTTTCTGGATCCACCTGTCGGAAGAAGTAAGGACTGGAATTAGAATTCAAAAAGCTTTTAAAGGGCTTCTGTTTAAACAAATGAGATAATACCAATATCACATTTCAGCGAGGTCATAAGGAATCTTGAGGCACTGGTTTTTAAGCTGTCTTTTCAAGGACCTTGGGGTTTCTTGGAAACTTATAGTGGTGAGAAGACTAGTATTGGGAGTCTGTGTGGTACAGTGGTTAGCATTTTTGACCAGGACTTGGGAGCTGCAAGTTCTAGACTCCACTGCATCAAGAAGCTCACAAGGGATCTTGAGTGAGTGATCCCTCTCTCAATCTGATCTACCTCATTGGGTTGTCATAAAGATAAACAGGGGGCCAGGGAGAAGGACGCCCATATATGCTCCAGCCGCCTAGAGTGGTCCTGACCCGACCAGATAGGCAGGATATAAATAAATAAAATAAAAAAATAAAAAAAATAATAATAATAATAATAATAATAATAATAATAATAATAATAATAATAATAATAATAATAATAATAATAATAATGCCTTGAACTCACTGGAGGAAAGACCTGGTACTATCCTATGATGTCACATAACATTCGACAGTGTTCAAGGATTTCACAGCAGATGCCCTGGGGTAACTTAGTAGACAAACCAGTGATGGAAATCCAGTTTTAAGTCACAACTAGAGTAGGTTCATTGAATCGGTGAAAGTCAGAGGAGCTGACTCACCAAATCTCCACTGATTCAGTGAGCATACTCTAGCTATGATTTACTACTGGATTTCAGCCAGGGCTTCTAAGCAATTGCAAACAAATCTTAAAGTTTATCCTGAAGGCCTAGAGTGTAAGAAGCCCTGCTTTAAGACTGACATTTCGAAAAGAACGTCTCTGAATACCCACTTTGTTACAGCTAAATCAGCCACTACAAACCAGAACAGCAAAATCTCAGCCACCACGAGTAGCACAAAATGAACGGTCTCTCTTTTCCTATTACTATCAAAACCTTGTGAGGGTTTCTGCTCCAAGGTCTTACAAGGCTCTGTGAAATGGGAAGATGCTTTGGCCCCAACGTGCACTATAGCTCTGCCCCACAGTTCCTGCTGACCAGGGACCACGCCAAAACAATCCCTTTAATTACAGGTTATAGGCATGCAAAAGCAACACAGGTACTGTATTTGTTATCACTGATATGATCCCTGAATAATATCTGCTGGCCAACAAAAACACAAGACCATGCAATTACTAATGATCAGTTCATTTATAAACAAAAATCTATACTGTTTAATTGGTCCAATGCCAATGTCACCCTCATTGAGTCATACTACCGTGTTTCCCTGAAAATGAGACAGGGTCTTATATTAAATTTTGCTCCAGAAAGACATTAGGGCTTATTTTCAGGGGGTGTTTTCTTTCTTTAATGTACAACAATCTATGTTTATTAAAATACAGTCATGTCATCTTCTGGCTGCTACACAATGGTGGAGGGTGGGGTTTAACTTAACTAGGGCTTATTTTGGGGTAAGGCTTACTGTATATTACGAGCATCCTGCAAAATCATACTAGGACTTATTTTCAGGTTAGGTCTTATTTTCAGGGAAACAGGGTATGGAGTTGGTCAAATGACAAATAGTACTTTACAGTATTTGTTCTGTCACTTGCAGGGAGAGTTACTGTATTATTTAAAACATACTATTTCAGCTACACAAGAATAGCTATTTGCCTGCACTGCAATGTGGAAGACACTATAATTCCATTTTGCTGCCAAGGGTGAACAAAGCCAGCAAATAACTTGCTCGCGGCTACTTTAAGACTGAGTGGGTTACTCTGGATTCTGTTTTCTTTTTGTTGAAGTTTGAAGCTTTTGGGTTGTGGTCCCCTCCCTTTTGAAGGGCAGTATATTCTCAGAACAGAATAGAAACTTAGTCACATGAGTCCAGACTTAATTTAACCCTACTGCTCCTTTGGTTTCAGTTCCTGAACGATTATGGAGTCATAATGGGTAGAAGAGCACCTATGAGCATGTACCTCCCTCCTCAGATAGTAATTGCAGCATACACACAAGAGGTACATCTATGACTGAGGGAGACCACAATGTCAGAAGACCTCAAAACACATTGTCCTTGCACACTGAATGTTGTAAAAGCTGTGTAAGAAAATTCCAGTAATGCCTGCTTACAGCATATTTCTGTGGCTTTTGCCCATAGGTAGTTTTGTTTCCTGCCAACCTAGCAGTTCGAAAGCATGTAAAATGCAAGTACTGTAGATAAATAGGTACCACCACGGTGAGAAAGTAACTGCGTTCCGTGCCTAGTCGTGCTGGCCTCGTGACCATGGAAACTGTCTACAGACAAACACTGGCTCTACGGCTTGGAAACAGGGATGAGCACCGCGCCCTAGAGTCAGACATGACTGGACTAAATGTCAAGGGGAACCTTTACTAGTTGCCATTTGTCCTGAATTTTTAGGGAGGTGGTGTTAAGGGTCTCCTTCAACAGTATTGTAGTATCTTAAAAACTACAATATGATGTAATCAGTACTGTGTCAGATTGGATTCAGGCGGCTTGGATTCAAATCTCCATTGAGCCATGGAAACAAACATATTCCATGTGCACTTTCCATCCTGTTCCTCAGACACCTGAAGTTAAATACTGAGTCATAGGTTTTCATACAAGCATATGTGGGAGTGAGGTTGGGCTGCAGACCCAGTGCAGACAGATACAAGTACAGAACATGGCACTTTAGAGTGACAATAGCCTTATAGAAAAGTAGGCCACAGTTACTGCCTGGTTACACAGTCTCACTTACATTGAGGGACTAAAAGCACATCTAGCTACTTAGGGCTCATGTGCATAGTAGGTGTTTTGTCATAGCCTTGTTCTGAGAAATGGACTCCTTGTTCCATTCTACACTGGTTTTAATGAATACACCAGACTTCTTGTCTCCAGATCCAAAATCTGACAATAGACTCTGTCTGGACAAAGGATCCAGTCCAAACCTTTAGGGTCAGGCTCTGATATTTGAAAAATCTCACTTTCTCCATCCAAACAATGAGGGGAGGAAATGTCTCTCAATGACATTTTCTACTAAAAGGCTTCCTGGACTTCTGTCCTGGTGGATGCATCTTTTACTCAGCAATGCCAATTGTAGTAGAGGCACCAATTAGAGTTGGTGCCAATTATCCATCCATTGTGAGAGAAGCAACAACTGAACAAGAGCAGCAGCCACTGCCAATTCAAAGGCCTCACTGCTTTACTTACTAGGCAATGACCATGATGTGATATTTTAAAACACATACACAGAGAGAGGGAGGGAGGGAGGGAACTCTGACATTCTCTCAGCAGCATTGAGTTGGGCACTAGCATTTCCACTGGAGGTATGAATGAGAGTTTTCTTTGTTTATTTTTGCTTATCCAGTGACAGGCAAAGAACTACCATTTTGGAAATAATAATAAAAAGTATATTTTTTGTTAGTTTCCTGTTAGTTTTGTCTAGCACTGAAGCTAGACAAAAAGTCCAGGCTGCAAGAGATGCTATTTCTCTTAGTTTGATTTTCACCTTATTAAATATGGGCATAACTGTGAGTATAGTAAAATAAAAAAACAAAAAATTCTATCACTTCTTATATCACAAAGCAAAACCAAAAAGCAAAGTGTACTTGCTTATTTACTGACCCATAGTGCTTAAAGCACCTTCCAGGTGGTTTACAATTTACATTCTTTAATTATGCAGGCTACACATTGTTTCCCCAGCAAGCTGTGTACTCAGTTTACCGACTTTGGAAGGATGAAAAGCTGAGTCAACCTTGAGCTGGCTACCTGAGTTCACTGGGATTGAAGTCAGGTCATGAGCAGAGTCTTGGCTGCAGTACTGCAGTTTAACCACAAGGCAATACATGTAGATAAAAAGATTGATCTTGTAAACATAGAGTTTTAAAAAATTTGGAATAGCTCACTTTGTGAGATAACCTCACCAAGAGCCACCCAGTGTGGGAAAGAAGGCATGCAGAAGACAATATATTATTTTATTTATTTATTTATTTTTCTTCTAAAAGGTTTTTTTACATCATTAAACACAAAATATTAAAAGCTAAAAATTGTAAATTATTCAAATATTTAAAAGAATTAAATAAACATTATATCAGAAACGTCACGTAAAAACATTACTAGAACAGATTTAAAAGCAACAAAAATACACACCATCCTGTTTTAAAGCTTCTCTTAGACAGCCAGTCACTCAGGAAAAGTCTGCCTGAAGAGAAAGGTCTCTGTCTGCTTGTAGAAGGATAGCAAAGATGGGGCCAGACTAGCCTCCCATGGGAGGAAGCTCCAGAGTCTGGGAGTCATGGCAGATAAGGCTTTTTTATATTTTTCACAGTTTACCTTCCCAAATTTCTCTCAAACACTGAAATACAAACTAGGGACTACATACTAGCAAAATCTTCTGTTCAGGATAGGTAAACCTGTACTTCATGAACCCATAAATCTATACGCCATAAAAATATATTTTTTAAAAAAGTATGTGTTCATGTGTATACTTCTCTCTGCCATAGTCTCAGATCGTGAAGCCCAGGCACTGAAATTAGCATGAATACGAAGGTGAGCATGCGATGCACAGCAAGGTTATTATATTTTTAATTTATGTATTTTTGTTACTTTAAATCTGTTTGAAGCCTGCATTACCACCATCAGTCACTAGATGGTTTCCCTAATTGTCCTTAGAGAAGACGTTCTACATGATGTTCTTTCGTGAAGATGTTCTTAAAGTTTCAAATAGCAAAGATGGGGACAGAGAGGAGGGGGCAAGAAGAAGAGGTCTTGGTTTTTGGTATGGCAAGAAGGAGAAATTGAAGCAAAAGCTGAATGATAACCACTGTGGAGGGACAGAATGATCTGTGTGAAAGAAAAAGAATGAGGTGGAGAAAGAACAAAGGGACGGAAAATAAAAGGTGGGGTGGGATAGGAGAGCTTATGGGTTATTAACCCTTGCAAAGCTGCTCTGTTCTGTTGTATTGAAGGATAGTGAGGATAGTGGGCCTGAATCTGTCTCAGCCACAATTCTAAACCCAGACTTAAGATGTGTCAGAGATTTAAAGCAACCCCAGTGTTGTGTACCTTCGTTTTTAACATGCATTAATTGACTTTGGTGAATTTAAATGTCTGTAGTCCGCACTCCCTAGATGGCAGGCTAACCTAACCATCATAGAAGAAGCAGCTGTCGGTCTGGAATAGTTGTAATCCAGAGGACCTACAGGCAACTCCATGTGAGGCA